AAAAGTAAGAGAGAGAAAGAGAGGGAAGGGAGAAAGGCCAGCGAACATGGTATCGTTAACGTCCGACCCGCCCGCTCGGCGGAGGCAAGCCAGCCGGGCATGAAGGCGCGCGCGTCTTTGTGCCCCTCTCGCAAAGGTACAACGGGAGGGAGAATCATAACGCGTTACGAGCCTTACCTGCGTGGGGGTGTGTGTGTATGTGTGCTTGCAGTTTTAATGGCGTCGTGAAAAGCGCCGGAGCTATATGTACGCACCCTTCCACCCTTGGCTCTGAAAGGAAAGCCGTGTGCCGAGGGAGGCCTCGCTCTTTTATTTTCCCATGCGTAAAATCAACGCTGGCGAGCCGATGCTGTAGGGCTGGGTATTTCATTTTGGCTGTCTTACCTTTTCTCTCTCTCTGTACCTTTGTGTTCCCTGGGTGCAACTTTTTCTCTGCTGCGCTAGCCGATCTCGTGAACGTTCCCTTGTTTCCTTTTTGCTCGAGGGGAGATTTCATCAAAGTTATTGCGCATCGGCGGAAATGAAAGCTCCGAAATTATGGGCGAAGACGTTTGTGTTTTTAAGGTGAGATGTGTGGCAGTTAACGCGGTACACACGTTCTATCGGTGAACAATTAACTTTTTGCGATTCGCTTTGAAAAATATATATCTTTGGGGCATCAACTCGGCTATAAAGGCGAATATTGCGCGTGTACCATTTTTGGGGATAAGTGATTTATGTTTATGTGGTTGGAGCTTTCGTGTCGAGGTATCGAGTGGATTCGTAAAATATACGTTTTTTTTTATACGAGATAAATAAAGTTTAGCGTCTGTTTGATATATTACTTTGATATTGCAAACCGGATAAAAGGAAAAAACTTATTTTAAACTTGTATGATAGATTAGGTATGCCAATGCGTTGTTACATAAAGTATTTCAAAACAATCACCTGTTAGGTGGAATTTAAGTAAAAAAAGCTTCGCACGTTGCGTCGGTCAATCATCTTACATAATAAGCATGGAAATTTCCTTACTTTGACTAAATTTTTTAGAAACAAATTCCACGTCTCAACTCAAGTTTAGTTTGGGGTTCCGTCTCATAATAACATGCGAGAGTAATTTGAAAGCTGAGATCGCGCTGGTTTCTTTGCGAGCTAACACGCGAGTTTGACGCGAGAAACCTGGAAAAAGAAGTAAAAAAGCCGCGAAGGAAGCAGCGAGACAGGGGAGCTTTCATCGCTCCACTTAATACCTAAAAAAGCCCCTCACTCTGGTTTTATTCTCTTCGCGCTCTCGTAAAAAGAAAAGACCTTCGAAGCTTCCTTGATTACTATTTCAAGACGCCACCACCTTTTCCTTAATTAAAAACAAAAAAAGGCGCAAGGAAAGCCTCTAGAATGAAAAAAAAGGTGACGCATTGTCCAACGGCTACCTAACCGCGTTGCGTCGCGTGAAATACAATGCAACGATGACGCTCCGGGAGGACGATAAGCTGCGACGACTCGAGACAATGGGTATACGGAGGGATAAAAATGCGAGCCCCGCGGCCATTGTTCTCCGTGACGAAGTAAAGGGCTAGCGCTTGGTCGAGCGAAAATCAGCGATAGGACTAGCCCCGGGTCACGCTTCGATGCATAATTCATGCGGGCTGGGAAAAAGAACGGGGGACTTTCTTCGTTTGGATCGATCGCTTGCATGGGTGGGTTTATTGTTGTTGGTAATTACACGGGAGCATTTTGTGGAGTCGGGCGTTAAGAAAAAGTGCATCGATAATGACATATCGATGGGATGTCGTTAAAATGTTCCGCGATTACGGTCACGCCACGTAAATTTGCGCTTAATTGGTTTACAACGAGCCAATGTGCTTTTTTCACCTGTTGGTATTTGCAGTAAACGAATTCTTCGTTAATTGGTTGTGTACTATGGTCAGCTTATCGATGCACTACTGGAGATTAGAGTAAATTTTTTTGATATTCAAATTACAACTATTGATTTATTACAACGAAAAGGGAGTTTAACTTTTAATATGTTGCATTATGATATTTTGATTTTATATTATATCTTTTCTATGACAAATGTTTCTTTGTCGTATCCCTATGTTTCTTTGCAATTATAAATGCTCAACAGTAATATTACTTCTAACCACATGGAGTGTTCAGTACAGCATCACTTTTACTCTTCAGTTTCATTTTTCAAATTCTTCTTATGATCAGATGGTAACCTGCATTATTAATGGTCGTGCTAAAATATAAAGACGTAATGATTCAGCCTAATTCAAATATTTCCAACCAATAGTCTTTTTCCAAAATCTTATTATTAACATGATTTTCTATTGAATGTTTCTCTTGAGATTTTTATATCAACCATTGTGGTTTTGAGGTGTGACCATAGGCTGGTAGTAGGATAAGTCACATCCTAATTGGTATCATTTTTTTTTTATTTTTGCAGACACCATGTTATGGTGAATCGTATATGTCAGAAATATTGTAGACCTACTAATACCAGCAGATGCCAGAGATCCTTTGTATTGATTTTTTTGATACCAAAGTCAGGTCCCACTGATTATCTTTAATTTGATCAATAAATATTTAAGATTTTATAATTTCTTTCCTTTGCTTTGATTTAATTACTCCACTACAAAAGCTCATTTTGATATCAAGGTGATAATGATTCATATTACTGAGAAACCAAAATTATTAAATAACATCTATGATCCAAAGTAGATCTTAAGAATGTAGTCTTAATTCTTCGATATTAATAATTGTATTGTGATCAGTGATGTAAGCTATATACTATTTTAACGTAAATCTTCCCAAATATCAAAATGTTCTTTCTTTTCTTCTCTTTTTTTTCTTCTGTGGTAATTATTCTCAATGGTTCTCAGTTGCATCATATATATCAGCAAACACGAAATATTATAATATTTGAAACCTCTATGCAAGTCTGAAAGTCATGCGGCTTATAAAAAATGTCTTTGCGTTCTCTAATTTCTTCAAGTAACCCAAGACCACTACATAGTTCCAGCAAAGATTACCAACGCTAGCCTGATACGAGTAATCCTCTCTAGTACTGCGAACGTACCACATGCTGTTCATTAAGCTACTATCGTCCATAACTTTTCCACACGCGGCCAATAGTGATCTACGAGGCCTCTCGGCACAAGCAAAGAGCTCCGGTTGCGTCTGACGGGCGTAATCGATACTACCCTTCCCTTAGTAACGAGGTCATCGCGGGTATATCAGTAATCAGCGGCTCTTTTCCACCCTTCTTCAGCAAGGTTATCTAAATTATAAACAAGAAACAGCTATCAAATTTTGCCCTCAAGGTATCTGGTCGGGGTTGTTCATTATACCTGGGAGTAGATAATATGAAATTTTAATGATAATTACATTTTTTCAGCTTTTACTTTACGTTATCGAATTTAAACAAGAGCAATTTTGCTTGTGAATATCAAACTTTAAAGTCTTACTTTTGTATTGTAAAAAAGTAATCATTATTTTAATAACATGGAACAATGCATTTTTTTAATTCAAAAATAATATAATGCATATCTGAAGTTTGAATATCAGATAATACGTGATTCTTAAGTTGATCAATTGTTGTAAAATCGTCATTTTCTCAAAAAGTATTACTGTCAATCACATTTATATACAAACTTACATGAAAATTTAGATAAATTTTGACTGCTTTTCGTGTAAATCGGTTACCAGGTAGTTAAACGTTTTAGCAGTAAAGCACATTTGTAGTAGGAAAAGTTTTTTCGAAACGCTAAGACATGACTTTAAATAAATGAAAAAAAAAAAAAAAAAATTGATAACTATAATGATTTCTTCTGTACGACACATTTTGTACATTACAAATCTTCACTCAAAATTCGCTCCGCATCACTACTTTCCTTTCGGAGCAATGTGCACAAACGCAGTCAAACTCAAAACCCTTAGGGGAACATCTAGGTACACGAGGGGAAAAGATGTCGAAAAAAAAGAGGATGGTGCTCGGTAAAATTCAAAATGCAGCCGGTGGTTAAGCTGTCATTAAAATGTTCCGCAAGATCGACTACTGCAACGAGGTTGTAATGGTAGTAATGACTCCTTTCTCTTCTCTTCGCTCGCCATCTTCAACGATTCCACACGTATACCCACGTACACCTCACACAAACCTATAGCGCTAGTATTTTCTCTCATTTTCATGCCAACGCAGCCCGCACGTTTGGAGCTTCGTCTTTGTTTTATTACGAAGCTCTAGTACACCCGAAGAATTTCAAACTTGAGCTGCTCAACTTTTCATCCATATACTACCTACTGGAAACTGAGAAGAAAAAACGTATTATTGAATTTAATAATCATCGGATAAATCGTTTTTTTTTAAATAATTGCAGAGATATGAGCTTACGAAATAACATAAGCTAATGCCAAAAGATATTTGATTTTTTGAACTCAAATTATCTGCCCTTACCTTCCTCACTCAAGCTTTTCACATTTTCTTTGAATGAGTAACTTTGCTGGCCCAAGATTAATAAAAAAATTTTTGGAGAAACGTCACTCAACATACATTCCAAGAAACAACAAGACGATATACCATCGTTCAAAGACTTTTGAACCGTGGAAGTAAAATTTTTTTCACAGTACAAAACTGCACCAGTAAGCAGTTAACGCTTCTCTTGCAGCTGAGCACATACGCACTCTTGTGTAACTTCGGTCTAATATGAATACATCGCATAGAAGCAGCAAGTAGATTATCATAATTATGGTGGGGATTCCATAGAATTCAGTATGCATCACTTGAAAAACTGGAGACAAGGCAGGAAGTGGTCTCCAAAAAAAGATACTTTGTTTAGTTGGATTTCAGTTCTCTACCAGTGAATTTGAAGTTTAGAAAGTTTCTAGTTGAAAAATCACTCTGGTTGTTCAAGCACTTGGAAAAAAATATTAAAGATTTCCAGTTTTCGTTGAATATGTCAATATTTCAATTATCTTTTATAACAATTGTGATACTCGTGATTCGAAATACTAGATCAGAAGAAATGAATTTGAAATTTCCTCCTGGATTTCTTATAGGCAGTGGTTCGTCTGGTCTTCCTTTTGAAAAAGCATGGGATTTTAGTGGTAAAATGGAATTTGCGTTTTGCGCATTACCTTGAATGTTACAATTAGTGGTGTATTATGTCAAAGTTCTTCAAGAGTACATACGTAATCAATACCTCTAATTGTTATAGGTATACAAGGTAATATTTTAAATTCTTCTACACCAACTCAGCTACGTGTAGAGAATTGTAGTTACTCAGTAAATTTCACCAGTCCTCCCTACTGCAAACTTCAAGAGGATGTTAAACTGATAAAAACTGTTGGGGTATATACATCAATTACAAACCAAAGTTTTCTCTTAAAGCTACAATCATTGCCATAACCAACTGAACATATTCTTCTCAGTTTGACACTTACCGCATTTTTGTAAGTTGGGCTCGAATCCTTCCTAATGGTTACCCAGACGTCATTGATCGAGAGGGTTTAAATTATTACAACATTCTCATAGATGAACTTTTGAAGTACAACATAGAACCAATTGTGACGGTGTATGATTGGGATCATCCAAAAAAATTAGAGGAAATGGGTGGATGGCTTAACGAACGGATGGCGTACTATTTCTCCGATTATGCTAGATTGGTATATAAGGAATTTGGAGATCGCGTGAAGATCTTTACGACAATGAATAGACCACGTGTCTTTTGTGCCCTCAAGTATCAATACAAATTTTTTGGACAACGTAAGTTTGGCATTTCTGAGTTCCATTTGACTAGACCATGGCTTTTGTTAACTTATTCTTTTAACACGTAGAAGACAATTTTATGAACTTGAATCACTACACCTGTACCCATCACATGTTGAAAGCACATGCACTTGCTTATCACGCGTATAATCGCGAGTTTCGTCGCAAACAACAGGGCATTGTCGGAATGAACGTTGCTTGTAGTAATTTTTACAGCAAAAATATAAACGACCACGTTAGCAGTGACATAGGCTTCGAGTTTTCATGTGGACACCTGTTACACCCGATTTTTGGTAGCGAAGGTGATTATTCACCAGTTTTAAAAAGAAAAGTCGCTTTGAGAAGTAAAACTTTAGGTCATGGAAAATCCAAACTACCAGCTTTTTCCAAGGAATGGATTCAACATATCAAGTGAGGATTAACCTACTCTTCCTTCATTCAATAATTTCATACGAAGAATTCACGTGCCTGTAATATTTATTCAAGAGGTTCTGCAGACTACCTAGGACTAAGCCATTACGCTTCGTTCCTCGTTGAACAGTTGCCTTTTTCCCAAACACGTGATTGGCCAAATGACGAAGGTCTGAACTATACCGTGGATCCAGGCTGGCCATCTGCAGCAAACTCAACGTTTAAGGTTTGTAAAATAACTCACGTAACTAACACCACAGGGACTTGCTAGTGATTTTTTAAATAATGTTTTGAATGTATTTATTTAAGGTTGTACCCAAGGGTTTTGGCGACGTTTTGCGCAAAATACGAGATAAATACAACAATCCTCCAGTGTATGTTTTGGAAAATGGTGTGTCGGATGATGGTCGCTTGTCAGACGATTGGAAAATCAATCATTTACACTCGTTTTTAAGAGAAATGTTGGTTGCTATCAATAGAGATGGTTGCAATGTACGTGTATACACAATTTGGAGTTTTTTCGATGGTCTTGAGTCGTCTTTTGGATACAGGTAACAATCATACGTCTTTGATTGCAATAAAACACGATGAACAAGTAATTTTCTATTTTAGAGATAAATTTGGCTTGATATATCAGGATTTCAATGACAAGAGGGAAAAGCTCAAACTGAAAAAGTCTGCTCTTTGGTTTAATGCCATGCTGAGATTTCGACGAATTGTATCTCCAAATGATTTTTATTTTCATCCGCTAAAATAAATCATGCTTTTTTTTCTTTTCATTGAGTATCACATTGCATAGGATGATGCTCTTTTTTACTAAAAATAAATTACATCTCCTAAAAACTTGTACATACTTTTAATAAAAAAACATATAAATATATATTGTTTGGTATCATTTTCAATTGCGATTCATCTCTTAATCTAAAGATCTTACAAGGTAGTAAATCCGTAAAAAAATCATTATGGATCTTCTATTTGACTCCCAAACGAAATCATATCGCACATGAAATCTTTTGAGTAATCAACTCAATGTTAAGACTATACATTGCATGTTCGCAAACGTAAGTAAGCCGATCACTTTATCTCACAACTGATTCCACCTGACAGATTTATAATTCAATGAGAGGTCGACAAAGCCACCTCCGAGAATTAACGCAAGTTTGAAGATTGATAAAGAGAGCACGAGCGCAGCCTCAAATGCTTAATCAAACAAAAGTGCCAGAGTGAGTGAACTCTTCTGAACCTCTTCCACTCTGGAAAAAACTCACATACAACAGAATCACGCGCATTCGTGCTTGCAAAGCACCAGAGGAAGAGAGGCAGAGGAAAAAGGAAAGGAACTTCTCACCTCCGAGAGCATAAGAAGAAGAAAAAAAAAGACGTCACGGCTGGAGAGGAAAGGGGGAGAAAAAAAGTTCGCTCTGAAAAGCGAGGGAGGATAAATTTTAAGAAAATACCTTACATAAAGGATCTCGAGTGGAGAGACGGTAAAAGCCGCGGTAAGGGAGGCGGGGAGGAGCAAAGAAACGCTCTTCGCGTCCGGCCTGAAAAGAAAAGCCTTTCTTTCCGGAAGCATGTGGATGGCGGATGGCTCTTGTACATATAGACCTTCTTAGCCGAACCGGAGGGTAAGGACCACGCGGGATGTGGTTCCCATTTTATTAGGAGCATCTCTCAGCCAGGGCATTTTATATCATTTGTCCGGCGTCATCTATTCAGCTGGGGCTTCGCAGCATCTCTCTCGCTCTTCTTTTCGTCATCTGTGTACCGATTCCATCTTCAGCCTTTTTTTCTTATTATTCTTTATCTTCGAGAGATGTAGATCACAGCGAGTTTCGTATTAGATTGGTTGGGTGCACCAAATTCCAAGATGTATGAAAAAAAAATTTTTATCAAAAAAGTTCTTGTAATATTGCTTCTTGTATCGTCCAAATCTCTTTTGTGATTGTATTTGAGATAGTTGATACCTATAGAATAATCATGGACTAATACTTACAAGTTTATTATAACAAATAAACATCAACAAATATTTATTATTTGGACGAAGCCTATACTGTGTAATATCTTATTTCATTCAGGGAAACAAGGGAATTACTCTGCAGAAAATGACCCTCGAATTTTTAAAGCTTTTTACAACCCATAAACTAAGAAACTAAGTGTTTATCCATCATAAATTTTTAGAAAAAATTATAAAATCTAGCTTTGTCATGACACTTACTATTTTTTTATTTTAAAAAAATTGATAGCTTGTAAAATAATTTGAAATATTTTTAAACGGTTACTTGAGGAAGCCCCTTAATTTTCTCAGACCGATATAGAATGGATTATGCATTTGTTGTTTCTTACATAGACAATACAATCGTCATAGATGAATTAAAAAAAAAATTTTTGTCCAAATACCTCTAGAAACTAAAAGGTTTTTGGTATGTTGTAGATGCAGTCAACGTGATTAATGCAAACCGATAATAAAAAATGTTGAAAAATTTACAAAATATACTTCTTAGCAGCTTTTAAAATGAATCAGTGAGTATATTATTTAGCAATAAGACATTTCAACGTGTATAGTTCTTTTTGTTACCAAATCTGATATTTTTCGAAACTAATATAAATTACGAGTATATCTCCACTACTGTCCTCAGCAGACGATATCATAAAAGGTTAGAAAAAAAACTTTACCTTCATAATTAAGTTTTCTTGTGAATTCGATCGTTTACCCTTTAATTTTCATATTAGAATTCATTCTTCATACAAAATAATGTAGAATGAAAATTTGTAGGTATAACTAAAATAAATTTTATACGAATATCGAGTTTTTGCAAAGAATAAAATTAAGGTTTGTGCCGTTGTTTCAAGTTCTGGTGATACTAACAAAGTCAAGTACAACTGTAAACGACACTAAAAAACTCATTTTACAATAATATTACGCACAACACGTTCAAACCTGAATCTGGTACCTTTATGTGCTTCTGATTTTTTCCACCAGGGTGGCACTAGTAGTAAGTCAACACACAACGAATACACACCTTGTCTTTTTACGACTCTATTCAAGAAACGTACGAATTAAAACAAATGTCGTTAACTTGATTCACAGCCGCTTAAACCGCATTTTCTCAACTTCAACACCAGCGTGAAAAAAGAAAAGGAACGTAGAGGTCAAAAAGAAAGGGAGAGGGGGAATTGATCACGTGGCTTTCATTCACGCGCCAGCACTTATGGGTTCACCGATCACGAGGTGACGCAAGTTGGATGTTTAATGCACCGCCTTAACCTAGCATTGTAAATTATCCGCCTCCGTGTATACATGTATAAGCTATCTTGCTCGTGGATGCCTTTTATGAAACATTAACTTGGCCAGCGAGTTTTATTGAAAAAGTTTTCGTAGTTACACGGAGGAAGGCACAGAGAGCTCGTGTATAACCACTCGATGCACAGTGACGTCGACGACGCTATGAAAGCGCTGAATATTCATTCGACTGCGCGATAAGCCACGCGCGTCTTTGTAGGTCCGCGTGTACACGGAGCTTTGTCGCGGAAACGCGGAAAAACTACCCTCGAGAGGAAGGTTTTCAAAGACACTCTCTTGTTTATTTCCCCAAAAAGTACACCTACTTTTTTTTTTTTATATTAGAGTGCTCTACGTCCGGCTCCTTTGATAAGGGCACTACACAGGGCACTTAGCACAAGAAAGGGAAGAGGGATGGGAGGCCTCCCATTACTGGAGGGGGGGGGTAGGGGGAAATTAGGCAATTTTGCTGCGAGAAGGTCGCCTAAACCCTCCTCGAGGAGCATTGCGTGGTGAAAAAGCACATGTGAAAAATCACAGAGGTACTTGCCCGAAAAGTCGCACTGGCCGGGAATCGAACCACGGTCTCCCGCGTGCCAATCCACGGCCTAGCCGACTGAGCCACCGCGCGCTCAAAGTACACCTACGTGATGCAAATTTTTTTTTTTTCACACCCCTTGCGTTCCAGGGAGTGGGAGGGTGGAAAAAGAATTCTTCTAATTACACCTTAGTCCGCGGATATTAATCATCCAAAAACGAGGTTGGCTCGGCGAGGGTGGTGGAATAAATGTTTCGAGTTTCCGTGCTGGTGGCTATCTTTTTCCCGCGCGTTAAGAGTCCAACTGGGTGGGTTCGGTCGCGGAGGAAGCTCCCCAGGCTCAATTGATAAGGATAAAGCTAGAATTTATGTCTTCGCGAGCAGGCGCTCAGGGGGAAGGGGGGGTCGGGTTTGTGGAGGCGTCCCGCCGCTACGTGAGTGTTGTGCTTTATCTTGGTCCTGTGCTACCGAGAAATATACACCTCTTACGAGGAATCGAGTGTATTAGCCGGACTGGGGACCCAATATTGTCGCTGTTTTCGTGGCTGTACGTACTGTACAGTTTTTTTTTTTTTTCTTGCACGTAGAAAATACATTGATTTGTCGGGATGGATGAGTTGTCCATTGGTAATGTTTTTTCATTTGGATTATCTTGTGAAACGTAAGGTGAATTACTTTATAGTCACCGATAACAATGGAACCCTGTAGTTCACGTACAATTTTTAGTTTTTTTCTGCGATTCTACTCGTTCTCAGTTTTTCTTTTTTTTTTTTTTTTTTAACGCCTTGTGAGTCTCTTTCACCAAATAAAAAAAAAAAAAAAAAAAAAACGGGAGAATTTCTCTTTCACTAGCTTTGGCGCCTGAAGGGAGGCTGAAAGCGGGAAAAAAGANAAAAAAAAAAAAAAAAAAAAAAAGAATAGCTCGAAGAGTGTGAAATATACGGAATACAAATCGTGGATGGGAAAAAATCCACACCCCAAGAGACGGATATTCAAACATTTGCTTGGCATCCTCCGGACCGTAGCTCCGAGCCATTTCCGTCTGATAAAAAATTCTGCTTACAATTCTCAGCGGGCCTTTTTGAAATTCAGCCGAGGTCATCGCGTCGTCGCGCGATGAAAGACGTCGTCTGATGGCGAGAGTCTCGTCTAACCTTGCTTTCAAAATTAGCAGACGCCTTTTTTTTTTCACCCGGACTTCAAGTGCCACCGAGCGATATAATATTCTTTTCACGAGTGTGCCATAATTGCCATTCAACAGCTGACGTTTTTACCTGATAAAATCGTATTCTTTAAGGTGCGGATATTTTCGTGGTTTATGCAATAAAAAAATCGCGACGTACTTTCCACATTGGCCCCAACTCTCATCACGAATTTTCCCAGCACGAGGGAGAGAAAACGCGCGTAACAACAAACTCCCTCGTATTAGCATACACATGAAATCCGGTGGCATAATTTTCGGGGATATAAGGCACTCGGCTTTATACGCTCTTTAACGCGGCAGTTTGGGTCTAACCAGCTTGGTTCTAATTGGTCAAGCCCCGCGGCTAAACAAGCCATAAACTAGCAATTAACCTCTCGCCCGCTCTTCCTCCGTTTGCCCCCTCCTCTTCTGGCCTTGGCAGTATTATCCTCCAGAGGGAAAGAATCTTCTTCCACGCGTAATTAACAAAGCTTGCCAAGCTCGCACATGTGCCTTTTAAGGAAATGAAAGAAGAAGAAAAAAAAAAGGTCATATATTGTTTAAGGAGTTGGTGAGATTTGTTGAATGGAATTTAAGGGTCGTTTGTCGGGCGGGAAAAGCCAGTTTCTTCGAGAGTAGGAAGTAGTACCTCCGAGGAATTGCATTAGCGCGTAATTTTTGGTTTCACGAGTCTGCTCTAACCCTCGCAGGGATCTAACTCGTTGGGATTAACTTTCGTAGCAGCGGCGCTTCAGGTTTACATCTACTAATTGTAAATGATATTTTCGCGTAACTGGTAGGGAGAAAAGCTGGAGATACGGGCCTGGGGCTGAGGATATGAATAATTGTTTGAAATTAAAATATTAGTTTTTTCTTTGATTAAAAAACATTTTTTTTTACATGATAAAATTTTGTTCTACATTTGATACGAACGGCCAACAATGTAGGACAACCGATACATTGAAGGTTGCACCCCTTTGGTATACACCTGCTCGTCAGAGATCAATATTTTCAAGCAGTGAAAAAAGTATTGCTTAAAATAATAACGCCCAACACAAGTGTACAGGAACAGATATCAAACAAATTATCGAAAATACAAAGACAGAACATTTAAAAAAATATTCATGACAATAGGTGGAGAAATTATAAAATTTTGCATCTAGCGTTAGCTCGAATAAGAGTTCAGTCATGCCTATATGCTTCACAAAAACTTGTATATCTAGTGTTTCTATCTTTGTGATTCTACTGTCACTGTTACCTCTCCGAAATTTTGGCTAGAGTCTTGTGATCCCTGAAATTTAAATAAACTGAAACTTACGATTTTGACGTCTTATATCGTAGTCCTCTGGAATATAACTTCACTCTCTTTATTTTTCTTAAAGTGTAAAAGCTATTTTGATGATACAGTACCTTCTTGGAAAAATTTGATGGCTGTCTGTACTCCAGATAAAGTTAATAAATACTGTCGTACACAGCATACACTGCAGGGTTGCTTTAAAATTAAATAACTTGAGATCCTGTATAATCCAAAGTCTTTTGTTTATAGTTACTTACAAAAGAGGATGTAAATCATCATAAGAAAATTAAAAATATAGGTAGTAAGTAAAAATATTTATCATTAAACATGATGAACGGCATAGAAAAGCAGTATAACTTGGTGGACTTACTGAAAATCAGTTAAGATTTATATTTTTTTACTTGATTCGTATGGTTTCTAAGTTTTCGTACGTTCAAAATCTCATATTGACCATTTTTCGCCAAACTCCTAAATAAAACATTCAAGTTCTAAGAAACTAGATTCTGTTTCAACAGCACAAACAAAAGAGCAAACAAGAGTCGTGTATCAAGTTACTCCGAGCGAGACAGAAAAGGGAAAAAAAGAGTCCTGAAAAACCAATTACACGTCGATTTACACTTTAATCTTGTGACCTCGTGAAACAGAATCGGAACATCAAAGAGCATCCGGTTACGAGAGAGAAAAAAACGTAGAGCCAGTCGCACCCGATTCGACAAAAACATACTTGTCACGTTCTATTCGACATTTCGGCAAACCAACACCTCCGACGACGGACGAGGGCTACAAATAAACCCACCAGCTTCTTCTCACCCTCGGACAGCCAAGTTAAACGAAAACTTTTCACAGAAAGGAAAAAAAAAAACCAGAAGAAAAACACAACCTTCCAAAGATAAACCCAAGAGATGGTATACAGATAGTGGTTGAGATGAGCCGCTCCAGGTGTGCTGGTGTAAAGCAAAGATAAATCGTCGCGAGGCGCGCTTATAAATACGAACTAATTGAATTATCGTTTCCCCTTTTGAAAACCCTCGCCCCTACCTGGGAAACTCCTTCGCGGTGCAACGTCGGTCGGCCCTTGAATTATTCCGCGTCTCGTACGTATACATCCACGAATATTAATATCTCCGGGCCTTCCAGTCTCCCTCGGCGGCTCTCGACTTAATTGCGCGAAATGGGATTTCGCGATGTAACTGCTGTCGCTGCTTCGGCTGTCCAACACGTCTCGTTCGAGGACACGGCTCTCCCGAGGTTTGAGGGGCACTGTACGGTGGGCTCAGCCCCACTTTGTTTGAACGTCTTTGATTTTGAGCCCAACCCTGTCACGTGTCTGGTAAGCTTTACCTCGGATTAACAACACGAAACTTACACCTATGTGGATCAAAACACAGAAATGATTGAGACATGGTTCAAAAAATTTAATTTCATTTGGATGGGGTACGTCTTCGAGAGCCTTCACCAATTAATAATAAAAAAAACGTACTTGGGTGTCTCTTTGAAAAAGGTGATTCGTGCTCTTTTTCGGCCTTTCTTTTAAATTTTCCGACAGCCAGTCGACCGATCGTCGAAAAGACGAAAGCTGCGTGATAGTAGAACGAGGAAAAAGAAAAAACTCGGGAAAAAGGGCAAACGAAGGGTCTGGGAGGAGGGAACACTGGTATAGGCCGAAATGAGCTGCGCCTTTCATACAGCGCTAAAGTCTCGGGGAGCTTTTAATTATTCTCCGCCTCGCGTGCGGACCGACGAGATTTAATATCGGCCGGAGGATGGGGAGCTTTTTCACACGTGTACTCTCGACTGTACGTGGGCCCTCCTCTCCTCCCTTAATCCAATAGGGGAAAGAGAGTTCGGAGGCTGTGCCGTTGCTGTGGAGCCTACAGACGTCTCGGGAGGGTTATTAAATTTTCACGGCTGGCAGACAGTCTTAAATATCGATTTTGTAAGCGAGCGAGAGCCTCCCCCTCGTCGTGCTCGTTTCTGCTCGTTCTTTATCCAAGAAACGGAAGCTTTAACTCTCGCTCTATGTACATGCTCGTCTTTGACTGTTGGCTTGCTATTAAACTTTGTTTTAATATCATTTTTCAGGTAATTTAATGCGGTTAAAACACGATTTTTGTTAGTTCATGAATTGCAGGTATTGAAATTCGATTGATGAATACACATTTCAAGGAATGGTTCTAAATTTTTATGGCGATGAATTAGCTCACAAAAAATGATACAAATGCTTAATTTTTACAATATGTTATAAGTAATCACCAATTCTTTGAAGAACATTTTTGTATATACATGGGTATTACTGGGGCTTCACCCCTTTTCACACTGTGGTAGTCAATCTCTAATATTGTAAGAATCAATAATAATTGCTCTGTTTTTTTCCCTCAGCTTTTCAATAAAACAACTAATTTTTCTAAAATATGAACTCATAACTCCAAACGATTCGAAACGTAGTACATCTTCATGTATCTGGAACACGATATTTTTTATAGTCTTGTCAAGAAATTTTTTGTTTTGCTTTTCACAAAATGTTCAATAGTATATTATTCGCTATATAGTACTCAACTGTCCTGTACTGCAGACGTAAAGAATGTTAAAAAGCCCACGTTTGGTTACGGTTGCATTATGTATTAGAAAAACCGAATTTTTTGCTGAAAGCTTTCATTTTAACTTTGGAATATTTGCCTTTTTTTTACCTTTAAAAGAATATTACAAATGCTGTTTCTAAGATGTGACACATATTACAATTTTTTTAAAGATAGACATTTTTCACTTTTAAAAGACCAATTTTATTTAATAACATGATTTCTAAAAACCCAGTATTTCAATAAATTATTTTTTGACGAAATTTCGGTTAAGATTTTGATATTGGTTCACACTTTTAAGAAAATCGAAATAAAACGATCCACTCACAACTGGAATCTTTATCTTTCATGCCATATATGTACAAATTCTATCAATTTCTGCAAAAATATTAATTTGATCACATGCATCAATAAAAATCCTTAACGATGAAGATATAAAGAATAGTAAATTAAGTTAAGCTACAAGACTTTATTTAATCATACAAATTGAAATAACAAAAAATTATGAGTGTTGGATTACCAACAAAAAGTCAACATGAGATTGCATTACACCACGTCTTTCCGTCATTCAACTCAAACGAAATGTGAGTCATCGAAAATTTTGTTTGTTAATGATGATATTTTCATAATGAATGCTGCGTACTTCAAAGAAAAGTGCTTTCAGCAATAATGAGCGAAATTCATCAGTAGCAAGTCATTCGCAATCATGGCATGGTCCATCGCTCAAAATGAAGTTGTATGCTCGCCAAACTCATGTAGTTTGCCAGCGTTGCAGTTTATAGTATTTCTAACCAATTATCTTGGTTATTCATTTGACAGTCAATTTGTGAACAACAATGAAAAGACCATATCAAAGTACGATTTTATCATCGTTGGTGGTGGAGCTGCTGGTTGTGTTATCGCAAATCGTCTGAGCGAAATTAAAAATTGGAAGGTAATTGGACAACGCAAATTATTGTTGTGAAAATGTAACTATATAATAACTTAAACTGGTCCAGATTTTAGTGCTTGAGGCAGGTGATGAAGAACCAATATTAGCAGAGATGCCAGCGGCGGTACAATTCGTAAGCCAAAGTAGCGTTGACTATAATTACTATACTCAACCAGAGAATCACGCATGTAACGCTAGAAAAAATAAAAGGTGTTATCTCCCACGTGGAAAAGCTTTAGGAGGGTCGAGTGTCATTAATGGAATGATGTACATTCGAGGAAATAAGTTTGACTATGATACGCTTGCAAGTCGTGGAAATGCAGGCTGGGGATGGAAGGACGTTTTACCTTATTTCAAAAAATCAGAGAATCTCAGGTATCCTGAAGTAAGCAAAAATATTAAATGTCCGTTACAACCACGATTTAAAGTTCTCAGAAAAATTCTAAAATCTTTTTCTCTAGATTTTAGAAAAATATCCGGATGCTCATTCAACTGGTGGATATCAAACAGTTCAGGGAGTGCCCAAGAATAATGTTAGTGACACAATTTTCGAAGCTCTTAAAGAAGTTGGTTACGCAGAAACAGACTATAATTCCGGTGAACAGCTTGGGTTGTCGAGAGTCCAATTTACTCGCATAAACGGAGCCCGCCAAAGTGCAAATGGTGCTTTCATCAGACCTATCCGCGGAAGAAGATCTAACTTGGTTATTAAGCTGAAAACACAAGTTACTAAAATAATAATCGATGAACGTAAAAATAGAGCCATTGGTGTAGAGTATGTGACTGGAAATTCTCGAAGGATACAAAGAACTTTTGCTTCGAAGGAAGTTATAGTTTCGGGTGGTACCATAGAATCGCCAAAGCTGCTGATGCTCTCTGGGATAGGTCCTGCGGCAGAGCTGAAAGAAGCTGGTATCAAGATAACAAAGGAACTACCTGTAGGATCATTTCTTCAAGATCATACCTCTATTAGCCCAGTCTTGGTTGAATTTCCCAGTAATTTTACTGAGAAATTGACGTATAATTTAGTTCAAAATGATATGAGCTACTGGCTCAGTACTCACGAAGGGGTAATGTCAGAGTCAGGGATATTTGATCCCCAATTGTTCCTCAGAACGTCATTAGAAAGTGAAAACAAAGTTCCAGACATTCAGACATTGTTCATCAAGTATTTAGATGCAAAATCTGATTTCAGATTGAGTAATTTCTCGCCATACTACAACAGATTTTTAATCGGAACTCATCTAATGTCTCCCAAAAGCAGTGGCTCGTTAAAGTTGAACAAAACTGATCCCATTTGGAGTCATCCATTGATTTACATAAATTATTTGAAAGATCCACGTGATCTTCAAACCCTCATCGAAGGAGTACGAATAGCAAATAAAGTACTGGAGACGTCAGTTTTTAAAAAAGCAGGATACAAGCGCATACCGATTCCAGCTCCAGGTTGTGAAAAATATGACCAAGACTCGGATGAATTCTACAAGTGCTTCGCTAAGAATTTCGCAGGTACGGATTACCATCCCGTAGGTACTTGTCCAATGGGTCCGAAAAGTGATCCAACTTCCGTGGTGGATTCAAGATTACGCGTACATGGGATATCTGGCTTGCGTGTTATTGACGCATCTATTTTACCCTTTACTCCCAGAGGAAATACGTATGCTCCAACTTTAATGATTGGCGAAAAAGGAAGTGATCTTGTGAAAGACGATTGGTTGAAGACGAATTAAAGAATAATAATTAAACGTTATAAAATATAATGAAGTCCCAATTTGTCCAGCTCTACCATACAGTTATTTAAGAATTAGTCACCATACTTATAAAATGGATAAAAATTTTATCTACGATGATATTTTAAGCGATTTTTATACAGTTTTTACATAATTTTTAAAAAGAACTTAAAAAAACTTTTTTTTCCTCCGAACTTTGATGTTATCTGACTATTTTTAATGTAATTAGTAGTTGATCACGTAACACACTATTTCATAAAAAAAAAAAAAACTTTTTAAATCAGTTTGCAAAAAGCTTACGATGATTATGCCAATAACCATTAATAAATAGAAAACCAGAAAGTGAAAGTAAAATGACAATTTGAACCCTGCTAGTTTCGAAGCTACTTAGACCTTATCATAGTTAAGATCCTATGGCTTGCATGATTCTGAGACCTTTTTTATAATGTGCAAATATGTGTATGATTTTTTTTAAGTTAGTATATAATTAGTTAGTTTTTTTTAATTCATGCTCGTACACAAATTTTACTTTCTCATGCACATGTTTTGATTTTTCCCACCATAAAACAAGTTTTCAACAGATTTTTAGCAAAAATTTTTAAAATTTTTTTACCTGTCTTCAAAGCGTCGTAATTGAGGAAGAAATTCTTATCTTTCCACAAATGTATTAAAAAGATTGATAGTGTTAACACTTATTTGCAGATGCTATCGGACACGTTTGCAAAGTAACTTTCCTCGGTGTAAAAACATGTAAATCAAAAATAATACATAAAAAATACATACCGTATATTACCGTAATCACCTCCAATCAGTCAACTCGATAATTTGCAGTCTCTCGCAAAGGCACCTTCCAGAAGGACGTCAACTCAAAAATCGTACCAAAGGCATTGCTTCTTTGCCGACTAGAAGACCGCACGTTCCCGTTGCCAAAGATAACGCCGCAGGAAAACCCGATCGTCACTCCCTGACGTCAGTTTCGAGACACAACGACTGGGGATTTATTAGGGTAATCTGCTTAAAGCCTCTCCCTTAGCTCCGTACTTCCCTGGGCTCCCGAGCTGTCCGTCCGTCCATCTATTCGTCGCTGCGACGTTTCTCTCCACAAGCTGCCCTATGAAATAAAGGATTTGATGGGGCTTGGGTCTCTTTAGAGCCTCGTATCTCCCTTGCAAATAAAGAACTTTGATTGAAATCATTCACAAGTTGGCTCGTTCGTTTTATACGCGGACTATTTTGACACGAGCTTTATCGAGGATTTACTTTTATAGAGAGTCCCATACCTGTGGAGCGTTTAAATTTTAGGACTATTGCTGTTCCCCTCACTAGAATGGAGTTGAGTCCTAAGATGATATTCATGCAAAATTTAACAACAATCATGTGTTACAATGATGGATCGTTTTTACTTTTCTGATTTAAGTTCCAACACTGTAAAATCTAAGTGTGTTAAAGGGTGTTGGGTTTAAAGCGTGTAATCAAAATTTGTTTTTTATGAAATGCATTATAGTAGTCTTGATTCTTGATAAACGTTTTAAGGAAAACCAAATCAATGCTTCGTAAACAATTTCACCTAATTTATTAACTAAACTATTTTTTCATCTACGATTGACTTAAAGAAGGCTGTAGGAAGTAAAACATTACTGTCACAGTTCTTACACACTTGTAAACGTGTTAAATCTGTGTCAGTCAAGTTTTTCTCTCCACAGCCTTTCTACATTTATTTTTCTCATTCAAATGTGTTTATCTTGATGGAACTGGTTAACCTCTATATGCACCATAGATTTGGTTGTTTTTTAAGTTATTATCTACGCCTCCACGATGTATGTTTTATAAAAAACAAAATTTTTAACGACACACGTTAAACATGTTCTGTAACACACTTGGATTTACAGTGAAATAAGAGCAAAGTTTGTATAAAGGGATAGAGTTTGCGGAAGAATTATTGATGACCACTTTTATGTTCTACAGTCTTAGGGTAATTATTGAATCAAACGTAAGATATTGCAGTTTGTGGAAGAGTACTGTTTAAATTCTTTTCTTAATTGTAATGAAGCTAAGAATTCAAGATCCAACGATTTAGAAACATTAGTAGCTCACAAATGATGGAAAAAAAAAAAATTCATCGGACCACAAATTGCATAACCTCAGCGTCATCCAACTTCCGTCCCTCAAAGATAATAATCGAAAGTTTCTCGAGGGAAGCCCACGCGCCTCTTGTCATTCCCCGCATCTGACTCCGTCCCATCGATTAAGCCGTCAATCGATATCAGACTCAGCATCTGGATAATTACGTTATCGGCAGTAGCAGCAGCCAACGACGAGAGCTCTTCCGACAAGCGTGAAATCGGCTACACGCTCACGTGCATGGCTCAATTTATTTACGGCCTTCAAGTTGACGTCGAGTCTCATTTTGTTTTTATCCATTTTTTTTCGAGAATTATCAAATACTAATTTTTGCAATCAGTATCGAAATACGTTGTTAATTTGGCCGTTTCTTTTGTCGTTCAACTCATGCGTCAAACAGTTATGTTGTTTGTGAGTTGCTATCAACTTTTCTTCGATATTTCAGCTTAGGCCATTACTCAATTGTAATTTTAACACAAGCTCTGGAAAAGAGAAGTTGTTTTTTCAAAAAAACCGTCATAAAAAATAATTAAAAAATAAGTACTGGATAAAAAAATATTTATAGAAATGCATCTATCTGCATTTTTGTTTTTCAATTATACTTACCATAACTGCTTATTACATAATTTAAATTACTACGTATTTTTTAAATTTATTTTACGTTTATTCACTGTATTATTATTTGAGTGCCAGATATGGCACAGTTACAAGGCCTAAATAAAGTCTAATCTAATCTAATCTAATCTAATCTATCAATTGTCATTTTTTAACGTCAAAGGCATGGACGAGCATCCATAATGAATATTACAGTCAAAAGCTTAATCCAAAGTCCTTTCACTTTTGCAGTACTATTTTTTTATCCGTGTACGTATACCTGAAAATAATTAAGAAATTTTCAGATGTTTCTTTGCACTCAATGTATCTCTCTCTGTTCTTTGTTTCACGCTTTTACGGGCCATCTCACCATATTTATCTTCTCGTTGGCCATTTTCCTCTCTTCTCTATTCTTCAGTTTGAGTCTTCTCTCTCAGCAGCCACTGTTTCCTTCCCGATCTCGTTGCCCCGTTTTCTCTCCAAAGGGCGGGAATAAGATTTTAGGACAAAACAAATAAAGATGCCTTTCGCATCCTCCGTTTTATCTGCCATTCGAAATGTCACTTACGCTCGTATAAACGAGAAAAAGCTTTTTGCTCCGAGACGCGAATAAAAACAAACTTTAAATCCTTTCTTTTTCTCATCCGAGCAAGAGAAACTAGCCTAAACAAGCTGATCTCGCGCATTATAACACGGAAGCTCCTGTGAATCTGAAAAGTTCCACTCTATCTCTAATGACAATAAATTTCTCTCAAACGTCCAAATAAATACCCCCAGATTAGACGATAAATGTACGTATATCCTATTTCCCGAATTCGAGTTGTTTCTCCTGCTACAGCCATGGGCAAAAGGGATTACAAGATCCGGACAATAGAAGGACTCGAGCAGCCCCGGAGCTCCCCTTTTGCCAGTTAAATACAAGATATCATCTCGGCCTCTCAAGAGCGAGATAGGCAAGGACTAGCGAACACTTCTCTTCAATTAGAGGTGGCCGCGGATGAGGAAACGTTCGTACGGAGCAGAAGGAGGAGGAGGAGGAGTACCTGTGTTCTTGTCCGACGCGCGCGAAACGCTAACTCTGCAAACTACTGGCCCGATCGAGATCACCACGTTGCTGCTGCCGCTGGTGGAAACTTTGCATGTACCAGTCATACGTGTATAGTAGCCCTGCAAGTTTGCTCTATCTGTATATATCTCCGTGGACCGTTGCCGGTTGTTCGTTGCGATTGGTCTTGTATTATCCCCCTCCTCCGCGCACCCTCTTCCAAACCCCCCCCCCGGTTTGATTGTTTCCGATGGTACGTGGATGCAAAGTGTTTTGGAAAGCTCCTTTTGCTTTCGGGGGTGTTGGGCAGTTGTTGTCCAAAGTTGAAACGGCTATCTATGCTCACGCTTCTGAGCTCATTGCGACGGGGAAGTACTGCATGTTCTCTCTACTTCTGAAATTTTTTATTTTATCACACAAAAAAAGAACTTTGTTCTGACATACGCAAAAAACAAAATTTAGTTAGTCTTACTACAACAGGTATCCAAGTTTATTGTTTGACCGATTAAAAGAGAAATTATTACTATTACTGATGTTCAGTTTATGCATGGATGTTTACTTGTCATGGAATTAAATAAATAGTTTTTCCAACTACTTGATTATTGAACTATTTTTAACTGTATTTATTGCAATTGGATTTATTGATAGATGACACTCACTCTTTGGTACGTTTGAGGCGACATTTTTTGCAGTGTCTGGAATATATGTAGCTTCTGAGATTATAATTTGCCTCGTCTCATTTTAAACTGTCACAGAAATATTTTTTATTATCTTTATTATTCTAGCATAACTTTTTGCACTAATTAAACTATACGGTCTATTTAGATTTTCAAGTTTTTATGATACTGGTGATACATCTAGACACTTATTTCTAGTGAAACTATTTTCACATGCATTTAATAAACATGAAAGACAAGACTTGGTATCAAATTTCACGTCCTCGTATAAGAACGGGCAAGGGATGGACGTGAGGAGAGGCACTGCAAATCGTCTTTGTGCCATTCTCTTTTCCTCCCTCGCCTCTTTCTCTCCTCCTCAGCATATACACATTTACGTCCGATGGTATAATGCTTGCAAGCTATCTATATCGCATCCTTCGGGAGCTCCGCAGCTTTTTTCTGACTTTTTTTTTTACTCCTTCCCCAGACCCCCACGCTATAGCCTCCTTTTGCCTCCTTTGTTTTCCAGCTGCTTCTAGAGCCTGTAATGCTCTGTTGACTTTGAAGACTTCGCTCGCTCA